TTATACCAACCGACTTCTTTCCTCCCCCATAATCTCGACCAATCCAAAATCCCGAAAGTCATCCCACCACCCAAATTTGAACCCCACTAATTAGAAAAAACCGCTATATAAACCACGGTTCCGCGGTCCTGAGCGTCTTGTCTTGTCTCTTTTTTTAGTCTTGTCTTTTTGGCTCTCGGCTTTTTAATCTTCTTTTGTCTTTACCGTCTTCTTGCTGAGAGCTTTACAGCACAGTTCTCAGGGTTAGTCGAGAGAAGCTACCCAGCTCAAATAAAACGGATCGAGTCTGAGTCTCGGGTGACTCCATTATTATTAATTTAAATAAGCATTAGAGTCAGTGACTCGAAGCCCCGAGGTCTCCACTACATAAGCCGACCACAAGATTTCCGAAGCCTCGTCACCAGACTCAGCAGACTTCACCGACCAGTAAGTCAATAGACCTTGTTTCTTTTCTTTCCTTTTTTTTATTATTCTTTCTTTTCCCTTCCTCCTCACCGTATTTAAAGCCCGTATAGTCGTTCTCGGTTTTCGCGTTCAGTTTTCCTTTTTTTCAGTTGTTCGGTAACTGAGTAATAATTTTTCGCTTACCTACAAAATGATATTGCAGTGCGCTCTAACGGGTCCACTGCTTCTCCATCTCCACGCCGCAGCGTGATACGTTTCGTAAGGTCGCGCCGAACTGTTATCCGAACCAGAACTCGCACCGCTCAAGAACTTCGGCCCGCGGCCCAACCCTGTATTACTCACCCTCCGACGCCGAACGCTCCGACAGAGACACTCACGGTACCCTCTTTCCTCTCTTTATTTTCTCCTCCACTCGAGGTCTCATATTCACCACCACCACCCTTACCTATTTCACCTGATGAGACTCTCGATCCACAGATCCCAGCCCTCACTCTGACCTCGATCCCGAAATTCTCTCCTTCACCGATCAAGCTACCCTTCTCCCCTCCCAAACCTTTCATTACATCACATCCATAGAAGACCTTGATTTCTGGGTGACTGCTCCTCCCAACACCTCCCAACCTGCCATCGTATATTTAGAGGGTTGCCCACATCCATTTACAATCCCGGCTGAAAATCTAACCCCCTTTGTTGAATATTCCCTTCCACCCTAAATCTAAATTATCACACTCTCAT